ATTTGCCTCTCTCAATAAAAAAATAAATTTTTAAACCCATCTAACTTTTGAAACAATCTAATTTACCTAACTGAGTGGTTTTGACAATGATTTTGGCTGATGTGGTAGGTGGTGCCATATTAGTCGTCCTACATGACATCCCATTAGTCTCACCTCAAAATCAAGTTTCCTGATAACTCAAGTGATCAATTAGACTTTATAAAAAATGCTACAAAAATAAATCTTTTAAAACTTATCCAAAATTTTTTCTAGGAATAGTATGCATTTTAAAATACTGAAATCTAAATTAATCTTAGAAATAAGATTAAATCAGATTTTTAGTATTTTTAAATACTTACTTTTTCTAAAAAATATTGGAATAAGTATTTTTGAAAAAATTATTTCTGCATTTTTTATATATAAAGTCTAATTTACTCACGGAACTATCAAGGAAATCCAATTTAGTTCTCTAAACCGTTTTCAAATTCGTTCAGGAAGAAAAATCAAACAGTTTGAAAATTCAAGGAGTCTCAAAGTTCATTTTGTGTAATGAAAATGACAAATCGGACTTTTATAATAGTTGATTGATTGAGATGAAATGGAACTCTTCCATGAAGAAAACTTGCGAGGCCACGGGCAGGTCAGTCGCACGGGCCCATCACGAATGCTAATAACCCTTGGTCCATTCCACTGCGCCGGCGCGGCCCAGCGAAATCTGCCGCGATCACATGCCGGCCGGTGCCGCCCACCCGCCGTCGCCATCAAAATCGCGATGGTTTGCGATCCGCGTCCCTGTCTGTGTACATCCACTTTCCCCGCTTTTCTTCCCACATCCGTCTCCGGTCCTCCTCCACCCACGCGTCCGTGCGCACACGGCCCCCAACCGGCAAACCCCAGCTCCAAGCGAAGCCAGCCAGCCAGGCAGGCAGCCCAGCTCCCAAAGTTCACCCGCGGACAGCCGTACGGCGCAAACCCCCATAAAAAAACCTCACCGACCCGCGATCCCGACCGCAGTTCCCCTCCCCCTCCCCTGTACATCGCGCACGCTGCCGGCTGCTCCCCTCAGCGAGCGAGATGCGGGGGCCGGCGTCAGTGAAGGCGGGGAGCCGGCCGCCGTGGCTGGGGCTGGGGGCGGCGGCGTGGGTGCAGGTCGCGGGCGGCGCCAGCTCCACGTTCGCGCTCTACTCGCACGCGCTCAAGGTCTCCCTGGGCGCCGACCAGAGCCGCCTCGCGCTGCTCGGCGTCGCCTGTGACGTCGGCGAGAACCTCGGCCTGCTCCCTGGGGTGCTCTGCAACCGCCTCCACCCGGCGCTGCTCCTCCTCATCGGCGCCGGCGCGTGCCTGCTCGGGTACGGCACCGCCTGGCTCCTCGTCTCCGGCGTCGCGCCCGCGCTGCCCTACTGGCTGGTGAGCTGCCGACCGCCACTGTCGCTCTTCGTTTTGCTACTTCTCATCAATTTACTCTGATCGATTTTTTTTTTCTTCGCGAAAGACATTGCTGATCGATTTTAAAGATCCAGTTTATGCGTTCGTGAAACGGAAGTTGAGTTACTCAGTTTTTCGTGGAAGGCATTGTTTTGTGGCAAGTGGTCGCTTTTTTGGCACTTTTGCGCTGTGCAAGTAAACATTATGCTGGTTTTGGGATTTATTCTCCATTATTACCCTAAAAATGGTTAAACATCTTATGGTGTAAGCTTGAGGGAAAATAGATGTCTCTTTCTGAGATTCCATAAACAAATGGGGACAAGCTGCCTGTCAAACGCTAGCAAACAAATTTTGATTACACTTGGGTCAACAAAAATGCAGCATTTCACTTAGTTTACCTGCAATATGCACGCATTTAGGACTTTTACATGCCAGATCTCACCGGAGGATGATCGGGTGTTCTAGAATTAGCACCACTCATGTTTCCCCTTTAAGGCTTTAATTGAGGTTAGCTTTTTGCTAGCTTCAACTTGAGACAAACTTTTTCACCTACTCTAAGCAGTGTATTTCCAGTCTGGGATTTACTTTATTGGATCTAGTGTAAATTGACTAATGACCCTACTTGCAGATATGGTTTGCGTTATGTCTTGCTACCAATGGTGGTGCATGGTTGGCGACTGCCGTTCTAGTGACCAACATGAGGAACTTCCCACTCAGCAGAGGTGCTGTTGCTGGCATTCTGAAAGGGTACTCGGGTTTAAGTGCCGCTGTTTACACCCTAATATACACTGGAGTGCTCCGTGATTCTCCCATCAACCTTTTGCTCTTTCTCACTCTGGGAATTCCTGCTGTGTGCCTTCTGGCAATGTACTTTGTTCAGCCTTGTGAACCCTCTCTGGTGGAGACGAATGCAGAGCAAGTCCATTTTTTGTTTGCACAAATGGCGAGCATTCTTCTTGGGGTTTATCTGGTTGGTGCTACCATATTGGATCATGTCGTGACTCTCAATGACATTATCAACTATTCTCTGCTTGTCATTATGGTTCTTCTCATTTTTGCTCCCTTGACAATACCATTGAAGATGACTTTATTCCCGAAGAAAAAACGCCCATCAGATTCACACTCTCCAACCACTGATAATGATCACACAGAACCACTTTTACCTTCTTCCTCCGAATCAAACCTTGGTAATCTTGAAGACGACGATTCCTTTGACATTGATATTCTCTTAGCTGAGGGTGAAGGTGCTATAAAGCCTAAGAGAAGAAGACCAAGAAGGGGAGAAGATTTCAGGTTTCGTGAAGCAATACTGAAGGCCGATTTCTGGCTTCTCTTTGCAATATGCTTTGTTGGCATTGGATCTGGAATCACTGTTGTTAATAATCTAGCACAAATAGGAATTGCTGCAGGTGCTGTCGACACAACCATCTCACTCTCTGTCTTCAGTTTCTGCAATTTTTTTGGCCGGCTGGGAGGTGGTGCTGTTTCTGAGTATCTTGTCAGGTAACAGAATATCTTATATTTACTCAGCTATTTACTCTTTGAAATAATTGTTTTTAATGATGGCCCATTCTTGGCTTTAATAGCTCTATCAATTTCACATTGCTTTTGGCCTAGTGGGCGCTGACTACTGAGAGATATCTGGTAGCGAACCAATGTGTCTTTATTATAGCTCCTAACTGCCCAAATTTATTAACCATGTTAACCCCCCTTTGAATTATTAGAAAACTGCATTACAGTCTCAAGTTTTGAATTTCTGTCCTGAGGAAAAGTTCCGTAGCAGCCCAATGCATCTCCTCTCGTGTTAGTCAATAGCTTGGGTAAAAATTGTGAATAGAAAACATGAAAGCCTGACAAACTAGCGAAGGGTCCATTTTCTGAAGACAAACAGTAAGGAAAATCCTGAATCCCATGTGTAGAAACATGTAATGTAGCGAACAGCTTTCTTGTTTGTGAGTGATAGACATGAGTTTGTTGAGATTCAAAATTGTTGCCATTGCATCCTATGGTTAACTTACAATCTTCTTTTGCAGGTCAAGGACACTTCCGCGAAGTGTTCTGATCATATGTACCCAAGTTGTGATGATAATTACATACCTGCTCTTTGCATTGGGTCAGCTTGCCACACTTTACGTTTCTGTCGCCTTACTCGGCATATGTTATGGTGTCCTGCTCTCCGTGATAATCTCAACCTCATCAGAGCTCTTCGGACTAAAGCACTTCGGAAAGATATTCAACTTCATCATATTGGCGAATCCAGTAGGGGCATACCTGTTTAACACCCTTGCGGGATATGTCTACGATCTCGAAGTGGCAGAGCAGCATGCCACAACATCAGGGTCGGATATTGCATGCTATGGCCCTAATTGCTTCAGACTCACGTTTTGTGTCCTCTCCGGCGCGGCTTGTTTGGGCACATTGCTGAGCACGGTTCTGACGGTGAGGGTCCGGCCAGTGTATCAGATGCTGTATGCGGGGGGATCCTTCAGCCAGCCCAGGAACTCTGCACATTGACCGACGGTGATACGAGCTGTAGTGTTTTCTGCATCTACTACAATAAATCCAGTATGACGTCTGAATAGCTTCGTAAATGATCTATTGCAGTTCATGAGCACGCACCTTAATATGAGGAGGGGGTGATGGTTTCGTGCTGCTACTTGTACCAGATGCTCGTGCTGTTGCTCCAGGTTAACGTGCTGAGGCCCGAATTTTAGGTGAAATCCCTATTTGTGTAGAATGATGGTGCTTGTATATGACATGCTCATGGACATTTTTTGGCGGATTTCATGATATTGAGAAATATCTGCATGTTTCTCAAATTGTGAAATAAACTGCATCTCAGGTCTTAATCATGCTGTCTTTAAAATTTGGTTTACTCTTGGCCTAAAAACAGGGCAATGGTCGGCAGGTTAACGATCTTCAAGGCCAGGGCAGCATCAGCACTGAAATTTTTGAACAGGCAGTGGTTGAGATCTGACCAGGGTTGGCCAGCTAAACTTTGCTCAATCCGACAGATCTACTTCCGTACATCCAGACGCCGTGTCCCCAGTTTGAATCGTTGAGTGGAGCGGCCACTGTCAGTTCAGATCTGGATACCTCCTCGGCTCGTATTGGCGCCACCCTTTGATTTGTCTCCGTTGGGAACATGGCCCCTCATCTATTCCATCCCGTTGTCAGGGCTCTACACTAACGACAGGCGAGTAGTAGTCGTTAAAATATTTTCACAGCAGGAACGAAAATGCTGCAGGTATTTTTGATCGTCATGAACTCGTGATCCGATCGCACCAGGAACAAGATCCTACAACCTCTGTGCGCGTGAACATGGATCGATGATTCGATTCCGAGCTCAAAATTTCAGAGAATGACACATGGCATTATTTTTCACACTCATTTACACAGACAGTTGCAATAACAGTAACAGGCAGTAGGTAGCATAGCTAGTGAGTAGTGACCACTGACCACTGGCCACTGACCATCATGCACGTTGTCTTCGCTCGCTGTACGTACACGGCTGGATGGCGGCAGCCGGCTGGTACGCACCGGCCGGCAGCGGCAGCCGGCAGGTCACAGGTGCAGGGCACGCGAGCGCGTCCGGGCTAAGTGGGCTTCAGATCCTGGAACATGGACTCCCACCGCATCTCCTCGCCGCCGACGTCCACCACCACCTCCACGTCGCTGCCGCTGCCGTCCCCCTCCTCGTCTTCGTCGCAGCTGCAGACGTCCGTGCTCATGAGGCAGGCGGCTATGGACCCAGCGGGCGCGGGCAGCGTCCTGACCGCCGCGCCGCCGTTGCCCCTCCACTTATCGGCGTAGCTGTTGGTGAGCAGCACGGGCTTGCCGACGTGCGGCAGCTTCCCGCCGCCACGGACCGCCACGGGCGACGCGATCTTGCTCCAGCTGCTGTGCGCGACCCTCCCGCCGCGGTGCCGCAGCAGAGGCAGCAGGCGCGGCGTGGCGAGGACGGCCGCCGCGCGGTCCCGGTCCCGGCCGCGGGAGTGGGACACCGAGGCGCGGAGGCGGCCGAGCGCCGAGCGCGCGGACCGGTGCACGGCCGCGGCGAGCAGCCTGGTGGCGCGCCACGGCAGGACGACGGTGATGGCGGCCATGGCGGTGGCCCTGCCGCCGTGGGAGGAGGAGGAGGAGGAGGGATCCTTCCTGGCGAGCTTGAGGATCTCGAGGCGGTGCTTGGCGACGGCGACGCCCATGCTGAGGAGGAACTCGTGGTCCAGGTGGCGCACGTCGGCGGCGCCGAGCTCGTTGCGCGCGAACAGCAGCGCGTACTCGAACGCCACGTCCGGGTGCAGCCCCGCCCTGCAGAGCCACGCGTACCAGTCCATTCGCTCGTTCGCGCTCGGCGGAGCGGAGCGGCGAGTGGCGACGGCAGCAGCAAGTGAGGCTCCCGCGCGCGGTGGCAGCCCGTGGGGCTGCTGGACGTGCGGGCGCGCGCTCTGGTGTGTAGTGGCACTGCCCGATGGGCGGGTAGCGTCACGTGAACCCGATTATAAAAACGGGCGAGAGCCGAGAGAGGTTGTTGGCGTCTGTTGGCTGGACGGTGGTGGTGATGGTGGCAGACTGGTGCCGCTACACCGTGCACGAACCGGTGGGCCGCCCGCCCACGGAAGAGGGGGGCGCGTGCGTGCGTGCGCCCAGTTTGTGGGATCAGGTGGCGGATCCGTGCGCAAACGAGCCGGATCATCCGAGCACCTGAGACGCCGGGCACGCCGCTGAACGCCGCCGCCGCACCGGCAGGCAGTAGTCCGGTACTGGTTCATCCGCAACTGCGCACCATGTGCAGTGCAGCTCGGGATATGGATCGTCGGCGGATCCAAACGAAAGCGAAAGCGCCTCGGGCCTCCAGGGTCTAGGCCCAGCCTCGCGCCGCGTGGCTTGCCGAATTTAGGACTTGGGCCGGACCAAAACATAGCACAGCGGCTGGTCTCGCGCTCGGCCGGCCCAACCAATAGAGTCCCGGTTGGCGAGAGCCGCGCGAGCCCACGACGAGCTCCAGGATGCGCAGAAGTGGAAGGACCACGACGAGGTGATCGCCCGGTTTGTCCAGACTCCAGAGTAAGGGGTTGGTTGTTGTTCCTGAACTTTCTCTGGTTCTGCCGTTCTGGCCGGGGTTGTTACCAATAATAACGACCGCAGTAGAAGAATTTTCTTATACTAGTCAGTACCCTGCGGGAGAGTGTTGCAAATATGATTGAATAAGGAGAAGTCAGAAATTATAGTGCGTAAGATGAATACATTTAAGAGCGGTAAACAATTTCAATTAACAAAATAAGTGTGATGACATGAAAATAATGAAAGAATTGTGAATAAAAACATTGCTGGATGTTTGAGATGTTTACTCTCAAGTAAGTCCATTATAAACAAAGTATGTAAAAGCCATGGCTGAAAGTACTTTTGGCTGATTTGTTGTGAGAGGAAAATACTGTTCGTTCGCTGAAAAAGTACGGATTATAAGCCAAGCGAACAGGGCTATAACTGAGCTTGTGCAGCAGCACATGAAACAAAGTTTACAGAGAAACCTAGAGTTTATGCAGAGAGGTTTCAGTGCACAACGCAGAGGTGAAGCTATAGAGTAACACCCTGCCACCTCACACTTAAGAAGTAATAAAATGTTTGTACAAAAACAAAGATCAATCTAAGGACAGACTGCATCAACATAACAGTTGGGATGGTTTGGAAGCATGGAAGTAATATTGCTATTTGATATGCTCAGAGTCATAGGACCAACAGCTGAGATACCATCACCTGGGTGAACCTGAATGACAGACTGGAATGTGGAAAGGGAAATGCATCAAGAGCAGCAGTTAAAGCCCAGGCTATGAGATCATTTTTTTTTTTGGAAAATATCCATACTTAGTAGCAGTCAAAAGCAGAAAGAGAGAGGAAAAGATAATCTAAATGGCTCATTATACTAAGAATAGTAAGTATAATAGTGTTAGTACTCCAGGAACTTCCGATTTATTTTTTGACCAGTGTGTGTATGAACCTATGTATGCAAAGCTTAGTCTTCAATTCATCGTCAGGAAAAGAGACAGTAGGTAAGTTCATAGCCCGAGGCTCACCATTGAATATAGAAGTAGGGAGATCATTCATCGATACAACTGACAATGTCGTACAGTTGCGGCCTACAAAAATAAATAACTTAAGAGGGAAAAAACCAATTTTTAGGTTTGCCATAAGAAAGCAAATTGAACTATTTATAGAGATTTCAGCTAAGGTACAGGACAATGCCTACTGGTGATTGGAAACGGTAAAGGAAATGTCGAGGGTAGCTTGTCGTCGTACCTAAATAGGTAGCCTTTGTTATTGTATCTACTAAATGTCACTGGAATGTAGTCAGGTCAGGTAGCTTCTTTATTTGCTGCACACAGCGTGGTTCACTGCAATGCCTGAAACATAGGATTTTTTTTTAAACAGCATACAATGCTTAAACTTGTATAAGTAGCACTAATGAAATGACTCTCAAATTATTGGTCTATGCAAACCCAAAATATGCATCGAGCATTCGTCTATAGCCTAGTGCATGGCAATTTGCGACAAACCCTGAAATTATCATACATCTTTGCCATATCAAGTTATCAACTTCTGTAGACGTAGTACAGAAGTTCAGAGAATCATGGATTGTAGTGCAACGAACCACAGAATTAGTTATATTGTAGGCCTGCAAGTTGTGCTAATCAGAGTGCTCATGAACTCATGGTACTACAGTAAGCACAAACATGAAAGAAATCACCTTATAAGAAACATTCTTGCCCAGCATTCGAAGATGGTTTACCCACAGAGCCTGTTCGCTGATTGGTTTCTGGGATGATAAGCCCGGCTGGTGCTGGTTTGTTGTGAGAGAAAAACACTGTTGACTGTCTGATATGCCCTGGCTAAAACCAACAAGCGAACAGGCTGATAGTCTGTAAATTTATAGAGAGGGGACATGATGTACCTGGTTGGGGATGGCTGACCGAGCACGTGTTCAGGGATGGCGTGGCTGCATACAGTAAATCTGTAAATCAAAAGCAGGGACAATCGCTACCTCACATGAGCAATAAAGTAGGAAAGGAATTCGAATGAGAACCTTAGCTGCACAGGCATACGATATTTTACAGGAAGTTAGTTCTGAATCTACGCATGTGAATGTGAAGGGAAAGAAAGGTCCATAACCAAAGCAATTAGTTCTTGTAAATTAGCTAGTGTGTAAAAACAGGAATAATGAGGAAGATAAGAATTTACGTCAGTGAATGTCAATAACTTGACATATAATTAGATATGTACCTGATATACAACAGGGAAACTAACCATCCATAAAAACAGCATGACTGAAGGGGAGGCTACCTCAAATTATGTACCTGACATATGACAGGAAAACTATCCATAAAAAGAACATGACTGAAGGTGAGGCTACCTCAAATATCGTATGTGAAAAGGTTGCCACGTACAGTAGAACCAACTGGGTGCCCTTGTTCTCTCTGTAACTATCTGCAAAGGACAAACCATAGTCAGTGGAAGTAAAGAACCACCTGAGCAACAGTGAATGGAGATCAGTACCGCATGAATCAATGAAAGTAACTAATGCAGACATAGCGGTGTGACTATGGCAGAACATGGAAACATGATGCAACAGGCGCAGCAGGTCGGGACCGGTGATGTGTAGCAAGATATTACATCTGCTGCGTTATTCTATCAAGGCCCCTTCCGCACAGCTTTCATGGAAAAATGGAGCCATCCTTTCCCGCAACCAATAGGGCCGCAGCTGCATGTTTGTGTGTAACCAAACTTATCTAGGAAATTGAATGAATGTAAACAACGAAGGAAGAGAAATGGCCAGAGGGGTGAATAGCCTATTAAAAAGTCTACAACAACACTTAAGCCTAAGTATTAGATAATTATGAAATAAAGCGAGTGTTGCGCTAGTCTACTCAAAATGCAAGCCGTCTATCCACCATTCTAGTTACTATGATCTCTATTTCACACATAAGAGGCTAAGTCACTGCCACTAAATTAGTGAGCTCTCAAAGACTAACTAAAGAGCCTTACTAACTACTAGATAAGACACAAGCTAGCTCTCAAAACTAATTACACTAAAGAGCTTAGCTACACTAGAAAAATAAATGGACAAGAGATGTAATGATGGTTATACCGTCATGGTAAGAGAAGATCAATCAATCACAATGAATACCAATAGAAATCCTCGGAGACAAGATGACGCAATAATTTTTTTTACAGAGGTTCACTTGCTTACCGGCAAGCTAGTCCTTATTGTGGCGATTCACTCATTTGGAGGTTCACGCGCTAATAGGCATCACATGCCTAACCCGCAATCGGGTGCAGCACAACCAACACAAGATGAGGATCCACAAGCCACTTGCAATCCACTAGAGTATCTTTTGGCTCTCTGCTGAGAAAAGGTCAAGAACCCCTCACAATCACCACGATCGAAGTCGAAAACAATCACCTTCCTCCGCTCGACGATCCTCGCTGCACCAAGCCATCTAGGTGGCGGCAACCACAAAGAGAAACAAGCAAAATCCGTAGCGAAACATAATCACCTAGTGCCTCTAGATGCAATCACTCAACAATGCACTTAGATTCACTCTCAATCTCACAAAGATGATGAATCAATGATGGAGATGAGTGGGAGGACTTTGGCTTAACTCGCTAGGTTGCTATGTCAATAAAAATAGCCAAGAGGATGAGCAAGAGTCGGCCAACACGCTTAAATAGGGAGCCCCAACGAATAGAGCCGCTGGCTCCCCACTGCCAACTCTCACGGGGTGACCGGACGTGCTGGTCGCGCTGAACGGACGTAGACCCCCCAACGTCCGGTTGTGGATCTCCATCCACGTGTCCCCCCTGGTTCAACCACGATCGCCCGATCCCAACGGTCAACTTGCTCATGCTTGTGCTTAAGTGATGACCGGACGCGCCAGCCTTGACCTGACGCTGCACCACCGCATCCACTCGCACGCCCCGCTGCCTTCGCGCCATGACCTGATGCACCGAGGGAATGACCGGACACGCCACCAACATGGCATCCGATCACTTCCGGAGACGTTCCAGAGTCGTCCAAACACGACCGGATACGTCAGGTCAACGATTACCAGACGCGCCCCTGCGTCCGCTCCTTTCTTCCTCGCGTTAGTGCTTGCATCAGCGTACGTTAGCAGGGATCGGACGCACTCCCTGTGAAAGCCCTAGTTTGATTTTGGATAATTGATAAAACCTCTACACTAACCTTTGCCATGAGTTGTGATATGAGCTAGGTTGGTGCAATCTAAGTGTAAAGCATGGTGGCACTCAAGAGATGGTGTTGATCACATGAAATGATGAGATG